TCTGAGGTTCCAACCCACAGCGACCCTGTATAGGGTTTCTGAGGTTCCAACCCACAGCGACCCTGTATAGGGTTTCTGAGGTTCTAACCCACAGCGACCCTGTATAGGGTTTCTGAGGTTCTAACCCATAGCAACCCTGTATAGGGTTTCTGAGGAGCGGCTGGTGAGCTGGAACTACTTTCAAACCAACCTTGTGGTCCAGCGCATTAACCTGCAGTGCCACACCAGGACTCGCTGCAGGGAACACACTCATCACGCTGCATCAAGTCGACAGCACTGGCTGAGTCTCACTGGGTACCTGACTTGTGAACCCTAGTCCTCAAGTCCAAAGGTTTTCCCCCATCAAAGACAAAGTCAAAGGTGTTCCCAGAGGTGCACTGAGGAGCTAAAACCCAGGTGCCATATGCAGTTCTCCTCATGTCTGGTTTAGGTCCTCTTTTCCCCATTCTCCCTAGAACCGGTACTGACAGAGGATGATTTCAGCTGAGGGTGGATTCAGATCCGGAGTCTGCCTCTTCTAGAATGCACGCCCAAGCTGTCTGCTAAATTTAGGGCTTCAAGAGACACGTGGGAGACTGAAGACGCACATCTTTTTGAAACACCTGCTTCTCTCAGCCGATTTACACCAGGGGCAAAAGCAAAGTGACAGAACAGGGGTCCTGGTGGAAGTTTCTGAATTCTAATGTCTCCTGACTGTTTTGTTAGCTTCCTCTTTCAGTGATCAGCCCAAACACTGCAAATCATTCGCTGGATGACCAAATTCTAACAGGGGCTCCCAGTCCCTCTGCTGGGAGCCACACTCTGAGCCACAAGAGGTCAGCAGATGCCACCTCTGGGCAAGGCAGCTGTGAGTGGCAAGGTCCTCCCGCTCTGGCTGCCAGGAGAAGACTCTAACAGTTAAATTCACAGTTAAGGAAAACAGAAGAAACGGTCCTCAATCTTGAAAGGAGAGCCAGAAGGCCTTTCTGGATGGGAAGGAGATTCCCTTAGCCTAGGGTGGCTAACTGGGAAGAAATGCCTGGCAAGCCCACACTGATTTCCAGTGCCAACTGCAGCCGCCTTCCAGGGAGGCCTCCAATCTCTGCCAGCAGGTGTTTGAAATCGTCTCAGGTTTAGTGACAAAGCCTGACTTTGTTACTAATACCTGTCATTTGAGATGCTTACCATTCTCACATAAAGAGGGAGAAAGGACACAAAGACGGGGACCATCTAAAGGAGCCATCCCATCCCCATGGCTGTGATCACTTTGAGAAATACGAGCGTACTGCTCACCACTGGAGGTGTCTTCCCAATACAGCGACACCCCCCTCCCACGTGATCGCCAGGTGCTCGGCCATACTCTTCCGAGCCTGGCTGCTTCTGAGAACATGCCCTCCTACTTCTCGAAGCCCACGTTCTTGCCCCTTGAGACCTCTTCCACCTGCAGAACACATAGGCACCGAGCCCTGCTTTTAGTGCTGCGTGGCCCCACTTCCGAGTTCTCTGCCAGCTCTCGGGTTGGTTAAGAAGACAGACCACAAGCATTCACGGGAACTGGACGAAATCTCTGGAGACAAGGTCTGAGTGACCCAATCTCTCCACTTGCCCACTGCCTCCCCACCATATGCACACACCCTCCCCCCACTCCACATGCCCCCTTCACCTGGCATGAGGTGCCACGAGGGCTGCTGCTCGGGACTCTGCTTGGATTCATGATCTCGGACAACTTTCGGGTCGGTGGATGGCCTACCTCTCCTCTGGGTCAGTGCCTCTGGCTCTCGCCCTCATTCTCAGCCTGACGCTATCACCAGGCTTGGGTTTTGTGAGTCCTCAAAAGCCTAAGGGGTGACAGAAGTAGCAGCAGCTGCCACCCCACTTTAACATGGCCAAAACATTCCAGAGAACATTCTATGTGGCCAATGGCTTAGAAATCAGCAGAGCATGAGCTGGAGAGGAGAATGAGTCAACCTTCAGTGCAAAAGCGGAGAATCTAAAGGGCGCCGTTGTGAACCCCCAAATTCTTGTAAACTACCCACAGTGACAACCAAGCACACAGACAGCCCCAAAAGGCACTGGGGGTTGGGAACACAGCTCTTCTCCTCAGGAGGTGACATTCTTCATGAGAAGTCACCGGTGCGTAAGACAAAACAGTCTATAATTGTAAGTGCGAATTTGGTACAGAAACAAGTTAGAGCTAAATGAATCACTTCTCCTTCTTGACTTCCCTATTTCTGTAAAGTGGGACCACCATTCAAGGACTCCATTTGGTCCCACCCCAAGCACCCAGGTTGAAACCCCATCCTTGGCCCCTCTTCCCTCTCCTGACCCATTTCCATCACTCCCATCTCAGGAGCTTTTTCAATCTCTCCCTTGTGTCTGCTGCCATTCCACCTCCTAACTGCTCCCTCCATCCATCCTATATAAAATTGCAGAGCGATAAGGTTACTTTTGTATGGCCCTTCTCACCATGGTCTTCTGACTCGCATCAAATGGTTGGTGGGGCTATGCAAACAAGGGGTTTTGGCCTACTAAAGAGGATTGGACAGTGGCTCACAGATCGAGATGGTAACAGTGTGTGTGCCAACTCATGGATTGAGAAGACAGAGTGCTTTCAAGCAGGAGCTTGCTGGCAGAGTTGGGTGCGTCTGGGCACTTGGCAGAGCTTGGTTCACTGACCCACAGAACTAGAGCGTTAAGCACCTCCATACCGAGGCTTACCGTGGAGTGGAATGCCCTGGGCACTTACTGATGGAGCTAAGGTGCTTTGTGACACTTGCTCTGAGGCAGACCTGCAAGCAGGCACGGCTGAGAGGAGGCAATCCTGAGTTGTAACCTGTTACTACTTCCCTGATAAAGGAGCCCTAGTGGTGCAGTCTCTCCTACTTTGGACATATTGTCCGGAGGAAACAGTCGCTGGAGAAGGATGTCATGCTGGATAAGGTGGAGGGTCAAAAAGAGGAAGACCCCCAACGAGATGGATAAACCAGGTGGCATCATTGATGGCGTCAAGTGTGGCAGCGGTAGTGAGGTTGGCCCAGGATTGGACATTGTTTCGTTCTGCTGTGCATGGGGTCGCTATGAGTCGGTTCCGACTCGATGGCACCTGACAACAACAACAAGTGGTGCAGTGGATTAGCACTGGTCAGCTGTTCAAACCCACCAGCCGCTTTGCAGAAGAATGATGAGGCTGTCTGTTTCTGTAAGGATTTACAGCCTCAAACCCCAGTCGGCAGTTCCCCTCTGTCCTACAGGGTTGGGTTAGGGTTCCCTTCCCTAATAAACACAACTGTAAATACGGTTTGTGAGTTCAGGGTCACTATGAGTCTCAATCAACTCGCAGTGGGTTTGGTTTGGGGTTGGTGTGGCTATCGCAACGAATTCTCAAACCCAGCAGAGTCAACCTGGGAAGAATGGTGTCAGATTTGGTGAAAACAATGGAGGAGGGCGGAGGAGGGAGCAGCTTTTTGGGCTGCTGATATTGATCCCCTCTCCGCCCTCCCCCCCCCCACACACACACCAAAGTTGTTGTTGTTACGTGCTGTAGAGTCAGTTCCAACTTATAGCGACCCTGTATAGGGTTTCCTTGGAGCAAATGGTGGGTCTGAACTACTGACTTTGTGGTTAGCAATCCAGTGCTTATCCTACAGTGCCACACCAGGATTCCACACCCAAAGTTAGAGGGAACTAAGACGAAGTCTGCACGCCATTTTTACAAAACGCCTCCTCCTATCACTCCTCCTAAAACACTGGTAACCACAGAAAACACTGGTAACTTCTTAGGCTAGAATATGGTCCTAACTTGGTGGTTCTATCACCCAGAAGCCTCTCTTACTGTACCCCAAACAGGACTTCTCCCTCCATACAACTCTCTGGCGTTTTCTTAGCTGATTTTTGCCACGTGCTGGACTGCAAAGTAAGATTGAACCACTGGGTTGGCAGTTCAAGCTCACCAGCAGCTCCTCAGAAATCCTATACAGGGACGCTATGGGTCAGAACCAAATCAATGGCACTTAACAACAAATCTCTAATGCTGCCGCCTTGCTGAACCTTCTGCCTTGCACTGGACACTCACTTTCCTGAACAAGCTGCCTGCATTCTGGCACTTAGAGCCATTGCCTTGTACCTTTCCCTTTTTGTTTCAGAAAACTTCATCCACTCCTGGACTACCGCCATCAAACTGAAAGCAAAGACTACTTGAACTTCTGGTCTTATAATAGCTCATATTAACAACAGCTGCAACAACAACAACAACAAAAACAACCCAGTACCATGGAGTCGATTCTGAAACCCAGTAACCTTATAGAACAGAGGAGAACTCCCTGAGGTTTTAGAGACTGTAAATGTTTATGGGAGCAGACAGCCTCATCTTTCTCCTGCATAGCAAGGGGTAGGCTTGAACCACTACCTTGCGGTTTAGCAGCCCAATGCTTAACCCACTGTGCCATCAGGGTTCCCTCCTCACTTAGCAAGTACTCATTACATATATTCACTGATGGAGTGTGGTAATTATAGGACTGTAGGGAAAGCTAAAGTCTCCAAGAGGCAGTTCCTGGGAAGGAGACCCTGAGATGGGTTAGGGCATTCCAGGTGAGGAGAACAATCCAGTGCTTATCCTGTTGGTAGACCAAGAACAACGGACTGAACAAAGATGACCTAGAGGCCACATGGGAGGAGGTAGGACATGACCGAGGCCAGATGATGGGGATAGCAGAGGGGCAGGCTTGGCAGCTGTGGAAACAACATGATGAAGCAGCTTTACAGACTTTTCTGGGGGAAGAATATGGAATGAGTTGGGGAGTGGAAAGGAGAGACTGGAAAAACTAGGCCCGACAGGGTTCTGTAATAATTCAGACAAACCAAGGGGTGACAAGGACCTAGACGAGCGCCGAGCACTGGTCTGTTCAGTGGCTACAGTGCACGCTAGTATGTCCTAAGAACTGTAAAGGTGAACAGATGTTAAGGGTAGAAGGAATCTTAACATTGCCCCAAGCTTAACTCTTTACTAGGAAAGGGTAAGCAGCTAGGCTGATCCGGTCTCTACCAGTATGATCTCATTCACCCTCAACATCTCCACTCTCCTCAAAATAGGGCCTACTTCTCTCCTACTTTAGAAGAGACCTCTAATCCCTGAATTTAATACCAGAAATCATCTTAAAACCCTGAATTGGAGCGATCCCATGAAGCCAGGGTTAAACTCGCAACAGTTTAGCCCACTTTAAAGAACACCTGCCTCCAGCATAGTGTTAGATGAGCTTAATTAGACAGTGGTGAATCTAATGCAACACTGAGAACTTAGGGGCAGAAAGCGTCCACTGACAGTGACGAAACAATACGCAGTTATTAAGAATGGTGGCACAAGGTGGAGTGGGCAACCAATGTTGCTGAATTGTTCACGTAGAAATTGTGGACACAGTCGGTTGTGAATGTTGTAACCAATAAGCAATGAAGCAACGAAATATTTATACACACACGCATGGGGGGTGGGGGGCTACAAAAAGTTTATCAGAAAATGGAAAAGAGAACTTTTCCGTGAACTTCTGAGGTCTCCTTGTGGGTATATATATATAAACCCTAAATAAACCCAGTCTGTTAAACTCATTCCTACTGCCAGTCAGTCGGTTCTGACTCCCGGTGACACTACAGAGCAAAGAACTGCCCCCTGGGGTTCCCAAAGCTGTCCTCTTTACAGAAACACATTGCCACATCTTTTCTCTGCAGAGTAACTGGTGGGTTTGAACTGCTAACCTTTCTTTCAGTGAACAGCTGAATGTTTATAATCGCTGTGCCTCTGGGATTTCTGTTAAACTCACTGTTGCTGCTAAGTGCCGTTGAGTCACTTCCGACTCAGAGCAACTCACAGCCATTCCCAGGGAATGGCTGGTGACTCTGAACCACCGACTTTGTGGCTCAAACCTTTAGGTCAAGTATTTATCCTACAGCGTCACACCAGGACTCATTATTAACTCACTTACATTACTCCACTAGTTCCTTTAACTCCTGGTTGTGGTGCTGTAGGATAAGCACTGGACTGCTAACCGTAAGGCTGGCGGTTCAAACCCACCAACCACTCCTTGGAAACCCTAGAGAGGTCACTATGAGTCAAAACCGCCTCGATATACGTAACATCTCCGTTAACACTGGTGCACTGAATCAATGATTCTGGAGTGGTTATACTCAAGTCAGCTGGCTTCGGGCGAGTTGTCTACTTTGGGGTCAGGGTGTCCTCTTTTTGTGAAATGCTGGCAATCGGACCTACTTCCTTAGGATACTCAGGAAATGAGTATCTCAGGAAGAATGGCTGAGCTTCTTAGAGAACAGTTCCACATACAGAGAAGGCTTTGTGGCCTGTCTGCCACTGTAGAGTCCGCAAATACATTGACATTTTCTCCCTTCTAGGATGATGCGCAAGGTGCTCTGGTAGCCAAGTGGTTACAAATTGGGCTGTAAACCTTAAGGTCAGCAGTTCAAAACTACCAGCTGTTCCGTGGGAGGAAGATGAGACTTTCTGCTCCTGTAAAGATTTACAGCTTCGGAAACCCAGTACAGGGTCGCTATGAGTGGGAACCGACTCCACGGCACATAACCACAACAAGAGGATGATGAGCATCCTCTCCCCCCTCTTTAAACCTAGGCTCACCTTCTGAAGGGGTCGCTAGTTTAGAAAAGGTCTGGCCATTAGAAGAAACAGCCAACGCGTCCAAGAACCTGGTGGCTCTACATAAAGATGATGCACAAGGCACTCAGCTACACATTTAACCCTGGCCAGCCTACTTGGGTTGTTGTTGTGTGTCCTTCAGTCAGCTCCTACTCATAGCCACCCGGTACAGGGTTTCCAAAACAACTGGTGGGCTTTAAACAGCCAACCTCCAGATTGAAGTTCAACTCATCTAACTTCTGTTGCTGCTAAATGCCCTGGAGTTGGTTCCCTCATAGCATTTCAGAATGGCTGGTGGGTTTGAACCGCAGACCTTGTGTTTAGCAATCCCGTGCTTATCCTACAGCGTCACACCAAGACTCCCATGTAACCTACAGGAAAGTGCATTTATGAAGCCTTCAGCAACATGCTATCTGCTAACAAGGTTAATCCAGCTTTTCTGACTGTGCCCCTGAACCCATATGTACACCGTTCCAGGCTCCTTAGTAAAGGGCTCGTTAAGATGTTCAAGAATGGGGGTGAGCACCGATTTTACCAGGCTTTGGTCACCGCAGGTAAAAAGCATTGAGCTCTGTTTCCGAGTCTACCGAGACTCACAGCTCACTTTAGAAAGTGATTCTCCCTTCATTCCGTCGGCACAAAGCGGTCACTTTTCCTCGAATACAGAATCGTAACTCTGAAGCTGCCAAGCGTGTCAGCGGGGTCAGCAGCACCCTCTCCATCCTGCAGAGTTTCGACCCAAATCTGGTGCTTTTCCCTCCGTCAGGGACTGAAGCTCAGGGGTCCCGAGTCAAAACCGGCGCGACCCCACCATCATGCTCCCCAAAGCTCCCACGCAAGGCAGCCCGGAGAACCAGTGTGTCGCGTTCCCCGAGCCTGCGACGACCCGACAGGACCCCGAGCGCCTGACGCCGCGCGCGGGAGGTGGAGGACGCACCGCAGCAAAGGGAGCGGGGACGAGCGGGGGCCAGAGCGCTAACTGGAGAAGGGGCGTGATCGCGGAATGCTAGTGAGAGGAGCGAGCGCAGGCGCGGTTGCTCAACGGCGCCGCTCTGGATCTCGGGGAAGGGCGCAGGGGTGCAGAACGGGGCGGCTCCGAGGTTCGAGGGCTCGGGGGCAAGCAGAAGCGGCCGCGGATACTCACTCAGCCAGGACTCCAAGCTCTCCCCTTCAGCCTCCGCCATATTGCAGCCGCCCGGGCCAGCCCCGCGGCCTCCAGTCTCGCGAGAGCCTGCAAGAGACGAATCGGGGTGTGGTTTGAGGGGGCCTATGAGGAACGGGCGCAGCCACCCAGGATCGCGCCGGCCTGGGAGGGCCTGGGTTTCCTTTTTTTTTTTTTTTTTTTTCCTGTGAACCTCAGAGTGAGAGACTCTAACACCCACCTAGAGTAATTAGGTGGAATACAGATTTAGGACCCTGTGGAAGTTTGTTCCCTTCTCCCGTCACTCGCTCAGGCAAGCCGAGGGCAGCCCTCTTGGCCGGCCAAGATGGCTGCCCCCTCGGTGACGGCTGTGCGAGGGTGGTCGGGCCTGGCACTGGGTATACGGGGTGTTTTCCCGCGGCTTCCAGGGTGAGCGGGCAATCGACAGCTGGGAAGCCACTTGGGTCCTCACGGAGAGGCCTAGCCGGGAAGGGCCTAGCCGGGAAGGAAGGGAGCCACAGGAAGGGCGTGCGGGGCTCTGGAGAAAGCAGTGCTCTGGGGGGGCGCTATGTCCGGGTTCCTGCCTATAACCAGCTACTTGACCTTGGGTCAATGCTGAAGGCTTAGAGACTGCTTCGGCTCGAGGGGTCGGGATCCAGGGATCTACGTGTGGCCCTGCAAGACAGCTCGGAGCTGGGATCGCCTGTGTGTTGGGAGGTGGCTAGAGCTGCCTCGGCGAGGAGCCTCATCGGAGGTTCGGGCGTCTGTCTTACCGTTTGTACTTGACAACGAGAAGATCGCTGTCTATTTGAGAGAGGCTTGGCTCGAGAGCCGGAATCAGTGTGGTTCAGGTTTAGCTAGCGGCTCCGCGACGCTCCTGTTGACGGGGTGGCAAGAATGTTTATTGTTAAGTCAGGTTTGTTCACGTGTGGAGTCAGCCTCGCCTCTGCCCCCCGTCCCCAGGCTAACCCAGGTGAGGTGGAGCCGCTACAGCCCCGAGTACCAGGATCCCCAGACCGACAAGGAGTATCACCGCAAGCCGCTGGCGGAACTGACAGAGGAGGAAAAGTATGAACGGGAACTCAGGAAGACTCAGCTCATCAAGGCTGCCTCCGCGACCAAAACAAGCTCTGTGTTTGAAGACCCGGTGGTCAGGTGAGATGAAAACCAACACTTGTGTCCTCTGGATGGGGACTCTCCCGGCACGGGAAGGGGTCTGTGCTACAGCCTTGAAAAGTTTAACATGTTGCTTTTCTCTCCTGGAAGTAAATTCACCAACATGATGATGAAAGGAGGAAACAAAGTGCTGGCCAGGAACCTCATGACACAGGTAAACAGAACCGGCTTCCTACCGTCAGCTTTGTTTGTTTCTTAGAGCTTTGTACTTGTGTTTTCAATGTAGCTTGAAAGAGACTAGATTCATACACTTATTAAAATTAGCATCTCTACATGTGTTGCACTGTGGTGGTTTATGTGTAGCTGAAAGCTATGTCACCAGCATTTCAAATTCCAGCAGGGACACCCATGGTAGACAGGTTTCAGCAGAGCTACCAGACTCAGACAGACTAGGAAGGAGGACCTGGCTGTCCGCTTCTGAAAAAATGTGGCCAGTGAAAACTATATATAACAGCAAAACATTGTCTGATACAGTGTGGCAAGATGAGCTCCTCAAATTGGAAAGCCCTTAATGCCTCAAACAGAGGAACAATTGTGGGGATGTTGCAGGACCAAGTCTCTGTGAGTCGGAACCAACTTGACAACTTCTAATAATAATATGTAATCATAATAATGAAGTCCAGCAGAGCCAGCAACTACCGCTTTCTCACCCATCACAAAACTCAGCCCACTCTTTCTGTCTTGGTCCAGAAAGAGGGAGTCACTGAGGAACTTTGTCTTGGGTGTGCTGCGGGCAGAGCTACACTTTGAAAATGTGATGATGAGAGAGCCGCAGCGTCTTTCACTGATCCCATTGCAGACCCTGGAAGCTGTGAAGAGGAAACAGTTTGAGAAGTACCATGCTGCTTCTGCGGAGGAACAGGCAACCATCGAACGCAATCCCTACACCATTTTCCACCAAGCTCTGAAAAACTGTGAGCCTGTGATCGGGCTGGTACCCATTCTCAAGGGCGGTCACTTCTACCAGGTGAGTGGCACAAATAGGGAAGGAAAGCAGAGCTGCCCATGTCCACACGTGAAACAAGATGGAGGGTCCTTAGAGGTGTGAGAGTCCCAGAGTCCGGCCAGGGTTGAGAACTCTGTAGGGTCCAGGGACTGTCTGAATCTGCTTCTCTGAATCTGAAGTATGAAAATCTCAGGCAGGAGATGAGAAGGGAAGAAAGCAAGGAAGTATCCTTATTGACCTGTTCTGGAAGCCTGCACCCCTGTTCCCCTTCTTCTGTCTAGCACCCTGTGTCCTAAACTATAAGCTTCTCGAGGTGAGGGGCCTTTATACCCTATCTCACTACGCCAGTGTTTGGCATAGCACTTGATCTAGAACAGATGCTCCGTCATTGTTTGTTGAACAGAACTGGGTGCTCTTGCCACAGCATGTTGTTGTATTTCATTGTTGTTAGGGGGTTTTCTCATCTTCCCCTTGTCAATGTAAGTTCCATGAGGGTAGAGATGTTCCCATTCATCTCTGCATCCCCAGTGTCTGGCAGAGTAGCCGGCACTAGTTGGGACCTGGCAAGCAAGCCTTGAATGGAAAGTTGTCTTTTAGGCCCAGCTAGAGGGGCTTTTCCCAACTGGCGCTTGTGTCCATGTGGCACATCTTCCACTTGGGAGGGGAAGACTTCGTACTTAGTGAGGGGTTGTGGAATGAGTGTCTCTTCTGTCTGCCACATGAAGTCAGCTAGAAAAAAGATCAGGCCTCAACTCTTCCCAGGAGCGTCAGCGGGGCTGATGCAGAGGGAACCTGTGACTGCTCCCCAGACTTCAGGGAAGGCAGGAGACCCCGTTCCTGGCAGGCCCTGGGACCAACTTGCCAGTATTGTCTCGCCCAGGTCCCTGTGCCCCTAGCCGACCGGCGTCGCCGCTTCCTGGCCATGAAGTGGATGATCACTGAGTGCCGGGAGAAGAAGCACCGGCGGACACTGTTGCCGGAGAAGCTATCGCATGAGCTGTTGCAGGCTTTCCACAACCAGGGCCCGGTGATCAAGAGGAAACATGACATGCACAAGATGGCCGAGGCCAACCGTGCCCTGGCCCACTACCGCTGGTGGTAGGAGGTGGGCTGAGGCGCCTCTGGCTCGTTGAAAGGCCCTGTGGGTTGGGGTGCCGTTCCTTTATAAGGACCTCAACAGGGATGGGGCAGCTTGTTGCTCATGAATCCTTTCTTTGAGGACTAGATGCAAAGGGGGGACATGTTGATTCACCCCCAAGAAACTCATGGCCACCCACCCTCCTCTTCTCTCTGCTTGAAGCAGACCATTGACCAATATGATAGGAAGCAGTTTTAGTAACAGAAAAGGTTTATTAGAAAATCCCCATCCTGAATGGTGTAGCACGTGATACACTACTGCCTAGCGTACTGAATCTGATGTGGAAATGAGTTTGTAGCCAAAGTGACCCTTATATAAAATTTATAAAAATCCATTTCTAATGTGACTTGTATGCTGGCCTCCGCCCTCGGCAGCCCAAAGCATTCCGCCAATGACTACGGACACCCGGTTTACAGGTGGGGAAGCTGAGGCACCAAGATAGCTGGTGCACCAATGGTTACATAGTGCAGTGGCTGTGAGGAGGTGCCCTCTGCCTGACCTAGGTGAAAGGTGCTGGGAGAGAGGAGCTGCTGGGTTTATGGGAGCAAAGCAGGAGGGAAGACCATCTGCAAGTCCAACCTGAGGAATCGAGCCTTTCCGTGTCTTCTCTGGCCCTGGGAGGGGAGGAGAGGTGTAGGACCACGGTGTGAGCACCTTAGGAGATGTTGTAAAGTCTAGAAGTCTTGTGGGAAGCAGAAGACTCCATCACCAGGTTGGGAGGTGGGTGGATAAGGGCTGGTTCTGCTGATGAAGGCCCTCTGGCTCACTGGAGGGCTAGTCGGAAACCTCGCTATAATAATAGTTCTGGGCTGCCGGGGTGGTCTTCCAGCCGGCCGCCCGGAACTCAATGATCTCCAGCAGCAACAGCTGGGCCAGGGAACTGAGGCCAGTTGGGAGCAAGAAGCCATCTCGGATCAGGACAAAGAGCTCATCCATCCGTTGCCCGTTCATCTTCTCCAGCTGCTCCCCGACTCGGTGCAGCTGCAGCACCAGGCAGTCCACCTGTGGGAGAGCGGGAGGGGAATGCAGACAGGGCCACATGCCACACTGGGCAGCCAGAGGCCATGCTCACTGAGCCCTTCAGCCTCGAGCCACACACTGAGTGCTGCCTGCATTTCAAATGAAAGAAAATGAGTTCAGGGCCTTGCTGAGATCTCTCCTTCCCCCACACTGTCTCCCACCATTCCTTCTGGGAAAGAAGGATGAGCTGGGAGCACTGGCTGCTCTTTTCTGGGTAAATTCCACACCTGGCACTGACAGGCCTGAAATGTCCCCACCAGGCCAGCACCTGCTCCCAGAAACGCTGGTGGATGGTGAGTGGGCCCTCTGAGCGGAGCCAGACTGCCCGCCTGGCCAGCCCTCGTCTGTACCAGGCCACCCACCTCCTCCTCCTTGCTCAGACTGTCAGGCTGGGCCAGCCGGAAGAGGCAGTCGTAGACAGGGTTCACCAGGGCCATCATGGGCATGTTGTTCACCTGGCAGGGGTGGGCCAGAGCACTAGGCTGAGTGACAGTGGGGCGCAGGGCAGCCTGGACCCTGGAGCACGGGCTGTCTGCCACCCAGACTGATGCTGGGGCCTCACCCTCAAGTAGTCAAAGATGTTGCAGATGATGGTGACATAGCGGACCCAGCCCTGCAGGGAGCGGGCTCGCAACTGCTCCCGGGTCTGGTATTCCTGCTGCAGTCGGTTGAGGAGGCCACGGCGGAAGACACTCTGGCCAGCTTGCGTGCTTTCTGCCTGTGAACCCGGGAGAGGCTAGTGAACAGTAGGGGCTAGTCCCATCCCAGGCATCTCCCCCCAAGAGCCCACACCTGAGGACCCACCCGCCCCCTTCTCCCTCTCTCTTGGAGGAAAATCTTGTCTACCCTGTTGGCCAGGACTCGGCCAACTCCTGGGAGACCTCCTCCTCCAAAGGGTCTCCCTTCTACCTCCTTCCCCCAACCTGGATGATGGCGTAGCAGATTCGTCCCGCTTCTTTGCTGAACACGCAGTCCTGCAGGGATTGGTCCACAATGACATTGGCTACTTTCTCCAAGTCCACAGCACCTGGATCTAGGGACAGAAAGGAGGGTTGTCTGTTCTCGGGTGGAAAGTCCAACTCAGCTTATTTGTCACACTCACCTCCTCCTGCTGCTAAAAAGGATGAGACAAGTTTACACTAAAGCACCCCATTACAGCAGGGTTCCCTTCCAGTGACTCACAATCTAAGGTCAATGCGTCTTTATTTGCATTATTGTTGCCTTTTATTATCAGTATCTTTATAAAGCCAGTCTTTGTCTTTGGGGGTTGACAATGATACAACATCAATAAAGTATGCTGCAGCATTGTATGTAGTGTGCATATGACTAAAGATGCTCCAAAAAATGGTTTTAAGTACAATTCGTAGTAGCTCGAATATGTTGAAAGTTGGGGACTACCTGCATATGCGTAAATTTAAAAAGTTTTGAAAACCAGAACATTCTAAAATTGAGCTCTAACTGAGCTTTCTGGCTGACAAAAAAAAAAAAAAATCTGGTTGGGCTATGTGGTTTCTCTTTTCCTGCACTGGCTGAGGAAGGAATTCTGTTTGTTGTACAAGGGATGCGAAACAGCAATGGGAAAAAGCTTATATGACACACACATGAACTCCGTCAGAAGTCAGCACTTCAAATGTCAGGGCTTAAAAGGAAAAACTGTTCTCGGTGTCCGTTCCCCTTCCACTGGTACTTTCTAAAAAGGGCTTTGCGATCTGAAAGTTGATTCTGTGATTCATACTCCCAAATAGTGCACCTTCATGGAACTTGTCTTCCACTTCAAGAGTTAAGAATGCTGACTCCTTAACAGGCAGAGGGAGAGGGCTGGGCAGTCTCCTGACCCCTGGACACTACTCCCACAGCTCAGGCCCTCTGGTCCTCCCTGACCCTGCTCACCTTTGAGTGCTGTCTTCAGCAGCTGCTGAGTCTCTGCATCAAAAGACTGGATTTTATATTCCTCTCTACTGGGCTCCCCCATGACCATCCAGCCCAGCAACTCTCACTGGGATGGGGCTAGTGAAGGCACCTGAGTAGAAGGCAAAGGGACGGGAGAGGCCTCAGGTGTGCAGTAGGGCCCAGGGTTCCTAGTGCTGCAGGCCCTGGGTAGAACTGGCTAGGGCTGAGGACCAACGCTCCTAGCCAACCATGACATTTGCAGGTTGGCTGAAAGCCCACCAAACTCGGTTTCTGGCGGCGACGGGGACACCAGCCAGGCACCTGCTGCTCAGCTGAGGAAACCCCAAGTGTGGGATTACACACAGAAGAAAGACAAGGGTGAAGGAGCCTACCCAACAGTCCCGGCGGGAGGCAGGGTTTATTCGCAGCTGACACTACTCTTGGTTCAGGCCCGGGCACTTAACAGGGAGGGTACCGGGAGACTTGTGCCGCCTCTAGACAGACTGGAAGTTGTCCAGTAAACCCGCCTGGAAGCTGCTGGCACAGCACGGTTCCGGGCAAAATGAGGGGCTGGGGGTCCAAGTCCCTCTCTCTAAGCCTCCCTTGGCTGCAGCTTGGGTCGTTCTCAGTCCACCGCTCCAGCCCGTGGGTACAGGAGTCTTCTCTGCCGCCCCTGAGCCCGAGATCCCACGACTGGCCAATGTCTCCTCGGGAACGGACTGGTTAAACTGGCCTGGCGAGTGGCACAAACCGTCCCAACCCATCCAAGGCTCTAACTCCTGAGCTCCACCCTGAATCCTTCCTCTTAAGGAGGGGAGTGAGAGAATGTGTCCACTGAGAGGTAGATCCCCCTGGGGTCGGCTCTCGGACTCGGTGCTTCTCTCCCCCGGATCAGAGGAGGCGAGCCTTAGGGGACTCCAGACAGAGGTAGCTCCCCCGAGCCCCGAATGCGACACCGCGCCCGCGCGTCCGGGGATCGATTGGCGGGCATGGCGCGCGTGCCCGCGGTGCAGCTGGAGCGGGTGGCGCACCTCACCGCCTCTTAGGTCATTTCCTAGCGCGGCGCGCCGGCGGGGCAAGGCGGGGCCAGACAGAGGGGGCGGGGCCAGTACCGTCTCTCGTGCGCCACCTGCTGGAGCCACGGAGCATGGGACTTGAGAAGACTGCCAGGCTGGATGTCGCGACCCCGCCACCGCCGCCCCCAGAAAGAGCTCGCTCTATCCCTGTCCTCTCCTCACCCAGTATGCCCCAAACCCGTCTGGGACCACAACGGCTCGTTGGCGCTGGACTGGACCTACTCCCCGGCCTGCATGAAACCGCAGGAGTTTAACAAGGGCACCCGTTCGTCCCCCACTCCTGGGCGCAGGTTAACAGGATCAGGAAAGGGGCGGTGGCTGGTCTGGTCTGTACTGTGCGGCGTGGGAGGAGCCTGTGGAGGGCATGGCCCAGCGGGGGTGGGGCAGAAAGGGATTGAGGGACATGGTCATTCCAGATGACTGCCATAGTCCCCACTGGCCAGGGCTGGGTGAAGTGCACTACCTTCTCCTTTGTTAAATGCCATCAAGTCGGACTCAGCGATACTGTATAAGGTTTCCGAGGAACAGCTGGTAGGTTTGAACTGCGACCATATGGTTGGAAATCCAGAGCTGATCCTGCAGCGCTGCACCAGGGGTCCAAACTCACTGTCATCCAGTGGATTCCGACTCATAGCAACCATGTGTAGGTTTCCAAGGCTATGGATCTTTAATGAGGCAGAAAGCCCTTTCAGCGGCTGTTGGGTTTGAACTGCCACCCTGTGGTTATCAGCCCAGTGCTTATCTTACTGCACCACCAGTGCTCCTTCCAAGTACTAAAGATCCTGGTAAATTGTTTAAAAATCAAGGAGGCAATTGAAGAAATTGGTCATTATGACAGTGTGCACTTGGTAGGGTGTTGGGAGAGGCCCTGAAGTTGAGTAAGCTTGGTGTGTCTTCTTGGCTAGAGTTACGAGCCTGGCTGAAGGCAAAGCTCAAGCGTTACCTGTGGGGTGTTGTGGTCTCCTTGCCTGCTGAGAGATCAGCTGTGACTTGTGGGGCACCCAGGTTAGAGAATTGCTACTTCCTCTGCTGGCTTGGATGACTCCCAGAGTCTGACCCCAGCCCTTGGCTCAAGCCAGGTAGCAGTTGCTTGTTGCTAAAATTCTTTCCCTTTTTACAAGGAGCTCCCAAAGTGATCCCTGCGTGATAGTCATGGTTTTGTGTCAACTTGATTGGGCAGGGGTTGTCCATGGGTTGGCAGCTGAGATGAAGCTCTCCTCCTGGAGACAGAATATTATCAACTCTATGATGAGGCCAGCTATGAGCAGCCTGTCAGCTGAAGGGCTGCTTCCTCCCGGATGTGGCCTGCTTCCAGAATATAGTGGACACACAAGCAAGACTTGCTCGCTCTGTGCTGGGTCTGAGGCTTGTCCTCTGACCTCCACTTCGAACCTGCTCAGTACCTGCCGATCCTGGAGTCGTCATCAGCCTGCCATCTTACCTGCAGGGCCTGCCCGCCTGCCATCTGACCTACTGATTTTGGCTTATCAGCCCTGCAGTGCAGTTGTTTCAGCCAGAAGCTTCCATCCTGACATCCAACCTGTTGTGTGAGGCATTTCCTTAATATAAACCTCTCTACATATATATATATAAGCTTCACTGGGTTTACTTCTCCAGAAAACACAGTCTTCTGGGACAGAGAACTCCCATCGGACAGCAAAAGAGACCCAGAGAGGAGAGGTGAGAAGAATACATTTTACTGCAATGGACTTTAGGGTGGAATTCCATGAAAAAAACAAACAAACCCCAGCAGCTGCCTCCGAAGTCCAAGGCCCAACCACTGAGCCCCCCTCCAGCAGCACCCCTACCCAAAAAAGGCAAGCCAAGGACAGCAGATCCTTATATATACAAGACCCACCTGGCCAGGGAGCAATAAAGAGGGGCCCAGCACCCAGGGGGCCAGGTCTAGACACCCACCTTCCTCAGCTCAGTCAGAGCAGAGGTGGGAGCAGAGCCAGACTCAGGTTCAGCTAAGCTCCTGGGTGGGACGCAGTCTATAGGCTGTGGGGAAGGAGGGGGCGAGCAAGGGTGGAAAGTGGGGCAGCTGTGTGCTGCCGTTTAATTCTCCTCTCGTGCCTCTAACCCAAGTGTCTCCCCTGTTGTCTAAATAAACAACTCTTGTGGCTCCCTATACACTGAGACAACCCCATCTTGAGCATTAACTGTACCCTCACCAGCCACGCTGGCTGGCTGGCTGGCCGACTGGCCAACCCTTTCTATCTGCTAACCCCCTCACTGAACTGCTTCAGAGTCTCAGTCCTCTTGGGTCACACAGAAACGGTCTACATGAGCTTCATGCTGAGCCAAAGAGGGGTTGCCCTGATGCCTGCTGGTCCATCTTGTGAGCTCCCACCAGCCCTAGGAGGCCCAGAACCCAGGGAAGGGGAGACAAGCATGCCCCTCTTTTCCTCTTCTCCTCCCTACTAGCATTCCCTCCACACTCCACTTGACCTTGGACTCTCCCTGCAGAACTGGCTGAGGGGTGCAGCTGTGGAGAAAACATGGAACCAGGCAGGGCAGGACCCCTAGCCTGATACTGTGATTTGTGTGGGAAAATGGAAGGGGGTAAGGTAAGGAATGTGCTTTCAGCTTAATGTCATCATATATATAATAAGCTGGGGAAAGTCACAGCCTCAGTTGTAAGAACCAGACTCCCGCAGAGTCTGACCCCAGCCCTTGGCTCAAGCCACAGCCTGTCTGGCCCCAGGAGGGTTCTCCCAGTAAGTAGGTGGCATAGGTTGAGAAGAAGGGTGGTATCTGCTTCCTTTGGGGTGAGCTGGAGAGATGAGAGACACAAGTTCTAGGGCCTTCTCTACCTTGCACTGTTGGGAGCCCACAGACCAAATTGTGTGTTCCCCTCAAGTGGCCTTAAAGGAAAAACCCCCGGCCTTCTAGTGGGATCCAAGCAGGGAGGGGATTATGGCTGGTGCCTGGTTGGAGAGCACGCAGCTCAGGAAGGCTAATTAGGAGGGATGGTTCCGGAGCCACCTCTCAGTGCAACACAATGTTGGACATGGAGTCTTCTCTTGGGAGACTTCCAGGCCACCGAGTCCCCTGAAAGCTGCTAGCTGTCTGCCTTCTTCAGGCTGTGGAACAAGCTGCAGAACAACTCATACCAGAAGAACACAAGGCCTGTGGAGAGAGCTGCCTTCAGCAGGCTGGGTGACAGGCCTTTGAAGAAGCCCTGGGATCCTTCCTCTTGCAGAACCTGCTTGGCACAGTCCAGGAGGCCCCTGTAGCTTCGTACCTGGGGAGAGAAAGGTGACTCTGTCTGAGCAGCTCTATGCCTTTGTCAACACAGTACCTGGCACAGCATAAATGAAGAAATGAATGCAAAAAATAGGCAGAATCCGTTGACCTCATTCGTTCTTTTCCACGGGGGTTCTAGTAGATATCACAGAAGTGGTGCCTGAAAGTCAGCAGCTGGACAGAGCTCCTTCCCACAGACTCTGGTTGGCTGCCCTTAAATGTTGGCTCCCAGAGCCCCGCCCACAGCTCCAGACCCTTTTCCCAGAGGGACTGAGACTCTGGGCCCCATCCCACCCTGCCCCACACCAGGGCAGTAGACCTGCATCTGGCTGTTGTTACTCCCTGACCTGACCAATGCCCCAACCTCCAACCTGGCCTCTCTGCCTCCAGTTTCATCTTCTCCAGTGACCACACGGTGCTAGGACCTGAGGCCCCCAGGCTAAGCCCACTCATGCCGAGACCCCCTCTAAACTCTCCAGTGACTCGCAGCGATGATGACAGCAACATCATTAAGAAGTGAGTCCAAGCGCCTGGCATACAAGGTATTCCACCACCTGACCTCAGCCTTCCTTCAGGCCAAACTGGACCACACTGCCCCCCAACCTCTGTCCTGGTTCTGTCTCACCCGCCAAATCCAAAGGTCCCTTCAGAACCAGGTGGTAAATGGAAAAAAGAGGTCACAAAGCCTCCTCGACAGTGTCATCCCATTTTCGTTACGAAATGTTCATGCCTGTTTCTGTGTTTATGTGGACCTTTCTTCTTGTCTATCTGAACTTTCTAAACCTTTCTACAAAGAAAATGTGTTATTTTTGTTAAATAAATAAATACAACTACGCATTAACTATCTCTTTTTCTGACATTTTGCATTGACAACAATCTATTACCCAACTATTGTGCACATTAAAGACCTGTCTGGCAGTAATTGGCTGTGATGGGTAAGGTTATGTGTCAGCTTGGCTGGGCCATGATTCATGGTTGTTTGACAGTCATGTGATGATGTAATCCAAAGTTATATGATGACGTAACCAACCTCCATTTTTGCATAAGTCCAATTTTCGCATAACCTGGTCTTCGGACCCTAACCATTTATGGAAGGAGCGGGCGTATAAATCCTGTTCTCTCTTATCCCTAGGTGAGGCAGCATGCTCTGTCCCCCGCTGCCTTTGTCCTCTGGCACCTGTGGGCTTTCATGGCTTCACCCTGTATCTCAGGTTCTGGAGGAAGGGGAGTGTATCACTGTCCACACTGCGCCTCCCCCTCCCCCATCACCACCGGTACCACTGTGGCCTTTTATGGAAGCATGGCTCCCAAAGGAAAATCCAGTTTGCGAAGATCTGACCACACTGTGCAGGCAGTTCCTATTAACACTATCAAACTACCTACCACAGGGTTGCTCTGAATGGCAAACCCTTCTAGCTAAAATATAAACGCTCACGCTTAATTAATTTCCCCATCCCAGAAACGCAGAGCATAAGTGAAGAAGCCCGTGCACCAGTGTTGATTCTTTCTCCATAGTCCTTGGGATTTTGGGGACTTCTGTTATGTGCATATTTTCTACATATTCTATGACCCAAATGGGACTTAGAGGAATTGATGCATTCAGGTTATGGTGTTGGAGGAGAATATTGAAGGTACCATGGGCTGCCAAAAGAACCAACAGATCTGTGTTGGAAGAAGTGCAGCCAGAGTGCTCCTTGGAGGTCAGGATGGCCAAACATCGTCTCTCATGCTTCGAACATATTGTCAGGAGGGACCAGTAGCTGGAGAAGGATATCATGGTTGGTAAGGTAGAGGGCCAGAGAAAAAGAGGAAGACCCCCAGCGAGATGGATTGGCCAAGTAACAACATGAATGGATTCAATCAAGCATGGCAACAATTGTGAGGTTGGCCCAGGACCGAGCAGTGTTTTGTTCTGCTGTGCATAGGGTCGCTATGAGTCAGTAACGACTTGATGGCACCAAACATCAACAATTGAACTTTGTGCTTTTTAAGAGCAGAGACTGGAGTCCCCCCACCCACCCACCCTCCCCAGGCTCTTAACACAGTACCCAGTGAACACACGGCAGCTGCATGAGGCTTTCCCATGTGTTTGGGGGGGAACTCAGGGACAGGCTGGGGAGAAGGGGAAAGAGCTGACCCTCAGTTCCTCCATGTGTCCAGTGAGGAGTAAGGATCAGAGCTGTCTATTATGGGATGACTCACCTGACCAAAGGCAGTTCGGGCCTGCTCAAACCCTCCAACCTGCAGCCGCTTCTTGAAGAGATCCAGAGGGTATGTAAGAGTCTTGCTGATGACTCCGGCTCCACTGCCGCAGACCAGGTTTTTAAGGTTCCCTGAACCAAAGAAACATTAGAACTGAAAGCTTGTCTCTGACAGACAATGTAGAACTATCAGGTCTTACTCTCCAGCACAAAACAGAACCCACAAGCATCCTCTGACCTCAGAGAGGGACTGACCTCAGCCAGGGATAGACCTCTGGCTGCTGAGTTGATTTTGAGTCAGAGTGACCCAGTAGGACAGGACAGAACTGCCCTGGAGGGTGTCTAAGGCAGTGATGTTCATGGAGACAGACTGCTACAGCTTCCTCCAGTGGAGGGGCTGGTGGGTTTGAACTGCCAACCTTTTGGTTAGCAGTGAAACATCTAACCACTGCAGAAAGAGACACACATACACACATACACACACACAAGAATGATGATGGGCTGCAGGTGTTATTGCTGGAGGCAGTCAGGGACGGCAGGTTCAAGGTTGGAGAAGAACTGGGTGCCCATCCCTTTCCCATCCACTCAAAGTTTAAAAGCAAAAATGAAAACAGGCAATTTGCAGGCTGGACCTCTGAAAGACATGAAAACCGTGACCACTGGCTGCAAATGAATGCTGGTAATGCCAGTGAGGGGTGTGGGCAGGCCTGGGAAAACCAAGGCATCTGCAAGCTGCTGGATCTGTTTATCTGGCTGTAGTAGAGCCAGACACAGGAGATGAGGACGGGGGTGGCTATCTCCTGACGGGGAGATGCCTTACGTGACTCAGAGATGTTCGTGTTTAGGAATGGTCAGAGGTCCTTTCATCTAGGGTCTGTCTCACCATTTGTCGTTCCTTCGGCCGGCACGGCCCATTCATACACATGCTTCAAGGAGCTGTAAAAGGAGAACTGGAAGCCAGCGTAGGGGAAGATGGCGATCAAGGTGGGGTTCAAGCCCTTGTAGAAAACTAAGGGGCCTTCAGTCCTGTACATGGTCACCATGGCGTCTCGGAGGGTTTTATAGACCTGGACACACACATACAACTCGAGTGAGTGTGTGCAGCAGTGTTACCCTAGACCTGGCCCACGGCGTGGCTCAAACTAACAGGAACGTTACTTCCCCAACCAAGAGGCGAGTCAAAGAAAATGCTGGACAAAAAGTTCAAAGGTCGGGTTTTCTAGCAGCTCCCCTTCCAGGAATTTGCAGAATGCATATACCCATGTGCCCAAGCATCTGAAGATGGTCAGTTTGGAGGTGGCTGGTTACAAAAATCATGGTATACCCACTCAAAAGTATGTAGTGTGGCTGTCTAAACAGGATGGTGCATCCTAGATGACTAACACACAATGGTGGTGGTGGTGGTGTGCAGTTGAGTCTGTTCGGACTCATAGCGACCCTGTATAAGGTTCCCGAGGCTACAATTCTATACGGGAGCAGAAAGCCTCAAATTTCTCCTGAGGAGCAGCCGGTGGATTTGAACTGCTGACTTGCGGTTAGCAGCCCAAGGTGTAACCCACTTTGCCACCAGTCCCCCAACTATGTTTTTAAACAGAAAGAGAAATATGCCGAAGAGTGGGCCTGATGCTTGTGGAGGAAACAAAGGCATCACCTGCATAGTGCATGTAGATACAGAAATCATCTCCCAAGAATATACAGTGATCCACAGAGGAAGAGAGGGTGCTCGGGGGCCTGGGTGGAGGGCGGTTCACTAGTTACCATTTTATGCTGGTTCGAGTCTTGTCATGTGCATATACAGTAAAACCTATGAAAGCCGGCACCTGTGTAAGGCAGAAAGCACAAGGCAGCGCAGTCCCTGTGGCATGCCGACTCCCGTAGCTTTCACTGTATATGACCTTTCTTAGACTCTCAGCACGCCACCTCTCTGTAAGAAGGGCAGAGGCTTTTTCTTTGTAGCCTTCTGTTAAACACACAGAATTTGAAATGAACCAGACAGGCTCTGACTCAGCCCAGATGAGGGTGCAGGCGAGGCAATGCACTGAAATGGGGGGACAAGGAGAACCCTGCCCTTTGGCTTCTAGACGTGGGCAGCCACACTGAAGGACTTGGCCTTGGGGACACCTATGAAGGTCCAGGCCTAAGGAAAGTCACCAAACAACTAGCCTGTCCACACCCAGAGATTCTCCTCTGCTTCTCTGTGTCTCCCTCTTAACATGGGGCTGGCAGCCAAGGGTGCCCAAATAGCTGAGGAAAGCCTTCATAAAACACCGATTCCAAATTGCCATAAGAACAGAGGAAGCAGATGGTGCCCAGTTATCATTACTGGTCGATCTGATCAGCTCTTGTACCTCCTCATTTCTTCCATTTGGTTTAACATCTCTATGCTGGAGAGCAAGTTTCAGTGTCTCTTCTGACATCCATTTTGATCTTTTCCTTCTGTCTTGTCTCCTGAATGACTTTTTGCTTTCTTCCTGTATGATGTTCTTGATGTCATCCCACAACTCTTGTGGTCTTCGGTCTTTAGTGTCTAATGTATCAAATCTGTTCTTCAGATGATCTCTAAATTCTGGTGGGAGATATTCAACGTCATATTTTGGCTCTCGGGAACTTGCTTTCATTTTCTTCAGCTTCAATCTGAATTTGCATATGAGAAGTTGATGGTCTGTTCCACAGTCTGCCCCAGGCTTTGTTTTGGCTGCTGATATGGAGCTTTTCCACCGTCTCTTTCCATACATGTAGTCAGTTTGATTTCTGTGTATTCCATCGGGTGAGATCTGTATTCTTACAGAGTTGTTGTTGTTAAGTGTCGTTGAGTTGATTCCGACCCAGAGCGACCCTGTATAGGGTTTCCGAGGAGCCACTGGTGAGCTTGAACCTCTGACCTTGCAGTTCAAACAGCTTTGCAGTCTGAAGCGTTAGCCCACAACGCCACAATAGATCCTGGTATATCCAAACAATGGACTCTCCTGGTGTGGCACTTGTAGGATCAGTGCTGGACTGTGAAGCAAAGGGTCAGCAATTCAAACCTGCCAGCTGCTCCTCAGAAACCCTATATAGGGCCGTGGTATGGGTTGGAACCAACTTGAGGGCACTTAACAACAACAATAACATCCATAAAATAGGACACTACTCCGCACACTAGAGGAAGGGACTACTTACAGGCACAACCACAGGGAGGAATCCCAAGTATGCTACGTGAAAGATGCCCAGCTCAAAAGACTGCAAGCAGTACGATCCCATCAACATGACACTGCATGAGACAGTACCATGAAGTCAGAAAGCAGAGACTGGCGCTGGCGCGACAAGCGTCCTACAAAGAGGCAGGAGGCCAGTATGGAAAGTGAGCTTTGATTTTGTAAACAGGCCTCTCCCTTCACTTACACCCACTGACCATTTCCATACATTCCAGAATCTAGAATCTAACATCTCAGCTGTCTAAGAAAAAAGGTAAAAAGCTCCTATTCTCTTTCCTCAAGACTTTCGTCGCTTTTCTCTTCCTGTAGACTTTAATAAAGGCTTGAAAGTCAGTTAAGAGGATTATAGCAGCGCTCAGAGAGGGAAAAGATAGAGGACTGTCACCTGCCACCTTTTCTTCCTCCCCAGAGGCCACCAGGCTGCTGATGTCTGTCTGTCCTTTCTCTAACCATCCTTCTCCCTCGGTCACTCTGCCCTGTATCCGGTTCACCAGCAGAGCTGCCATTCCCAAACTCTAATTTTCTACTGAGTTATACAAAGCAGTTATGCTCTAAGCCCATCTCCCCACTTGTTTGTCCTTTACTTCCAGACTGTTCCCTGAGTACTTTGCCCTTCTCAAAGAAAAAAATTCAACAGGATGTCTCCTCAACCAAACAAAAGGATGGCCACCACACCCAGGATCTCCACCCTAAGCTACACTAAAAACTGGAAAAACTGAAACAAGGATTATTCTGAACTGCTTCTGGTTCCAGACCCAATTGTTAAGCAGAGTCCTTTCCCACCAACAGTATCTCAAAGCAAAAGGAAGACAGTAGAAAATTGGAGAACATCAAGGTCAACTGGCATAAAACATAGTCCCCTCACCCAAAGACAACGTTCTATAGCCTACTACCTATGCTGAGGAGCCAGGCGCTCTGGTAGCGTAGTGGTTACGAATTGGGCTGCTAACCTCAGGGTCAGGAGTTCGAAACTACCAGCTGCTCCACGGGAGAAAAATAAGGCTTTCTGCTCCTGTAAAGATTTACAGCCTCAGAAACCCTGTGCAGGGTCACTGAGGGACCAGTGGTGTCTTAAAAGATCATGAATGATCTTCTAAGGTGCAACAATTGGTCTCTCCCAGTCTGGAGCCAAAAAGAGTGAGAAAAACCAAAGATACACGGAATCCCCGAGCCCCAAGGACTAATGGCCTACTTGAACCCCAGCCTCTGCGACCCTGAGTCCAGAAGAACTAGATGGTGCCCAGCTACCACTGCTGACCACTCTGAAAGGGATCACAGTCAGTTCAGGCACCAGAGATTACTGTGGGGAGGGAGGTCTTCAGGCGTGAATCCGTAGCTTTCAGCTCAATTATCCATTCCCTCCAAGCCATTCTTTGTGGAAAGCTGATCCTAAGTCTCCTGTTCCCAGCTGCCTTCCCCGCCCTGGCCCTGCTGCGTGCTGTTTATTCTGTTTCACACCTGTCCTTCTGGCTCCCACTGAGCTGTGCGCTCCTACACCTCATGTGGTGCAGAGTCCACACTCACAGGGTCTATAGACCAGCCATGTGGTGAACTGGAAACCCAAGGCTCTCCCAGCTTTGTTTTCACTAAGGAAAAAGCATCCCGACACCTGTAGCACCTGCCACTGTTCCCTCCCCTCCCTGGTAGCTAGCCACTCACCCTGGGCTCACCCTGAGCTGCAAAGCGAGTGCGCAGGACATCGACGGGGTGCACGGCGAGGGTGGCCGCACAGGCAGACAGGCCGCCACACATGAAGTGCACTGAGAAATCCCGGGCGTCGTATAAGGTGGCTCTGTGCACCAGCTCTGTCAGCAGTTCAAATGACAGAAACTGTAAGAGTGAGCGAGAGTCAGGGTCAGCCCGGACGGTGAGGCTGTGACCGTCCACGCACTGGTAAAGCGGGGCCCGGGCACAGGGTGAGGAAACATTCTGCTTGTCCAGGGACAGGAGAGAAAATTCATGTACAACTCTGAACAAGGAGGGATGAGAGGCCCTCTGATGCCAAATCCTCACAGGGGTAAAGAATTAGGGTGGTGATTGGTGGTTGTGTGCAACTGAGTTGGTTTCGATTCATAGCGACCCAGCATAGGGTTTCTGAGGCTGTAAATGTTTATAAAAGCAGAAAGCCTCATCTTTCTCTCGTGGAGAGACTGATACATTTAAACTGCTGACTTTGTGGCTAGCAGGTCAGCTCGTAATCCACTATGCTACCAAGGCTCCTTTAAAGAATTATTGTTGTTGTTGTCAGGTGCCATCGAGTCAGAACCGACTCATAGCGACCCCATGCACAGCAGAACCAAACAATGTCCGATCCTGGGCCAACCACACTACCGCTGCCCCACTTGACGCCATCAATGATTCCACCTGGCCAATCCATCTCTTTGTGGGTCTTCCTCTTTTTCTCTGAACCTCCATCTTACCAAGCATGATATCCTTCTCCAGTGACTGTTCCCTCCTGACAATATGACCAAAGTATAAGAGACGAAGTTTAGCCATTTTGACCTCCAAGGAGCACTCTGGCTGCACTTTTCCAAAACAGATCTATTGGTTCTTTTGGCAG